TGGAAGCAGGGCACAGACTGAGGCATCTCAGAGGGAAGCGGGAGGGGGGAAGATCTTGTATGCATAGAGATCTTACCTATGGACACAGACAATAGGGTGGGAAAGGCCTGGGGTGGGGTGGGAATGGGGTGGAGGGGGCAATGGGGAGAAACATGGGGGACATCTATAATACTCTACAGTAAAGATTAAAAAAATTTTTTTTTAAAGAGCCTAAGTACCCACCAACAGAATGCACAAATAAGTTGTGGCATATTCATACAAGGAAAGAAAAATGTAGCAATGGAAAAGAAAAAAAGTTTAGAAAAGTAACCAAAGGAATAGGAGGAAATTACTTTGGAAAATTGTTTGGAAATATCTATAAAACTAAACATATACCTATGCTGTAACTCATCGATCCCACTCCACAAAATGAGCGCACCTGTCCATTCACATTTATAAGAATGTTCAGGGCAGCTTTCTTCATAATAGACAATAGCTGATGGCAACTCAATACTCGTCAATGGCAAAATTCTTAACTAAATGGTGATATATTGTGAATCACTACTCAGCAGAAGAATATTAAATTACTGCTATAGATAAGAATGATTCTTACAGACATAATGAGTAAAAAAAAACCCAGACAAAAAAGTGATTATTGTATGATTTTATTTATATAAAGTTCAAGAACAGGCGAAATAATGAATGTTTCTAGAAATATGAAAAAAATGATTTCTTCTGAATAGCCTTTGGGGTGGGTATTAATGGAGGGAAGCAAGAGGGAGCCTTCTGGGAAGCTGAGAGCATTCTTCATTGTTATCTGGAGAATAGCTACTACACACATGTAGCTAACCCGTGAGTTCTACACTGAAACACTGCCCTTTGTGTGTACTTTACCTAGACAAGTTTAAAATTACTATGTACTGGTAAGACAATTCCTTATTCAGTGTCAGTTAGATGCTATGCCGTATAAGTTCTGAAGATACTGAAGAATGGAGACGTTGTCATGTTGGGAAGATAGAGGAAGTTTTACGAGAAGCTGATTCTGGA